ACACGCCGTGTGCACCAGGCCCCAGTTCTAGGAGGCAGACCTGCTCCACGGGGCAGGCTCAGAGAGGAAGATCGATGTGAGGATGAGTGAGAGAAGGCCACGGTGTTTAGGTCGCTGCTATTGATTCTTTGTCTTTAGACATATACGAAACAGTCCAGTCATTCTTTTTTTCAAAACAGAAAGACAGAGTATAAAACTCTATTCAATAAATACAACAAAGACGGAAAAGACATCAATTCCACAGAGGTAAAGAGAAAAATCAGGTCAACAGAGAAAAGGGGTTAGAAGAGATAAGCACACACGAGCATAAACACACAACAGTATAAGACTGAGAGTGAAAACAGATGGGAAGGCATGTGAAAGAGGGGGAAACCCCACTATTTACCAACCCCTCAGATCAAAGCTCGTCTCACTTACTAATCCTGCTCTGTTGAGGAAAACAAACCCGATTAAAAATTTGGGAAAACATTGCAGCATGTGTTATTCAGAAAACATTCTAATTCCTATCCACATTCTGCAAGTCCCTGTTCCTCGTTGTTAAAGAGGAAAATCTCCTTCTCCCTGTTTCTGAAAGCAGCAAGCACCAGATTTCATCTTCCAGAGGCCGAGGTCTCGCACTTGCATAGAGTAACACCTCTCCTGCGGCCTTTGGGCACACGGATGCCTAAACACGCTTCGCATCCTGCCGCATTTTCCCAAGCACAGGCACGAGTGGTGCCGCGTCTCGGTGTTTCTCTGCCTGTGGATGAACTGGCTGGATGGTAAGGTAAGAGCTGGATGGAGCCTGTGTGGCAGGTGCAGTTATCAGTTCCTGCCGAGCTTGTGAGAGTCAGGCCTGCTCTGAGCGTCCTGCCGGGGACAGGGTCCAGTGAGCAGTGAGTGGAGGCTTCTCTCCATGTCCCTTTAACCACAGCCACCATCAGGGCTTGAGACGGTCTCATTCATGGCCTGTTCCTGGGACATTTTTCTACTGTCAAGGATCAGCACGAACCTTCAAACACCCTTATGTTCCTGCCCAGCAGCGTCAGCAAGCTGAGGACAGACAAGACAATGAGTTGGTTTGCATAAAACTTTGGAATCTTTTGAAAATAAAGACACAGGGAACTTCAGGATGGGATTTTTATACTAAATGCCTGATCCAGCATGACTGTCAAGAGTGGTACTGGTGAGGAAGGAAGGAAAAGATGAGCAGCCTCAGATTTAGGCTATACCCTGATTCCCAATGATTTAATAACAATATAAGGCAGAGGACAGGCTAGGTCAACAGATCAAAAGTGCAACAAACACTCATGGAGCCCTGCTATGCTCCCGCAGGCACTGTGGGTGCAGAGATGTGTAAGACAGTCCCACGGAGCACATGGTCAGGACTCCCAGGATGTTAACATTCACTCCCACCCACAGTCGTGCCCATTCCTGGAGGACAAGGAACACGGTACGAATCTTCTATGTCTTAACCACTTGGTAAGCTGGGTTTGATTATGTCCCCACCACATAGCTGTGAAAACTGAGGTGGAGAGGCCATAGGCAGACCATGAAGACCGTGGTCTACTTGGTTGTGCTGAATTAGGCATTGCCAACAGTAGATCTAGAGAGAGGAGGGGTCCTCAGGAAAGGCATCTCCAGGAGCAATGCAAGGTAATGGATTCAGGGAACAAGGAAAGATGCCAGGGCAACTAGGTTCAGAGGGCAGAGATGACCTGGGAGGAGAGCACAGGCTGGCCCAGACCTGGGCCCCTCTCCACACGTGTTGAGGTAGACTCTCCTTAATCTGTCTGCCCAGGGCCACTGCCCCTTCTTTTGGGCAATTCTCCCTGTGGTTTGGAGGGAGGCTCCCAACCACAAGAGCAGGCCCATGACCCAGGCTGAGCCAAGTGCATGGCACCTCACCCTCGGGTTCTAGTAACTGGCCCAAGAAGGGGACAAAGACCCGAACCATTACATCAGAGTGTTTTCCTGAGATTTATAAAACCAAAGCTGGTTTATGGTGCTACTGAGATAAGCTTGGAACCAGTGGTGGTCATATTTCCTGCAATATGGTGCCTGTCTACCATAGAAGAGAATGAAGCCAACCCATACACACCAGCAGAGACAAGAAGCAGCCAGAGAGTGCCAGGAATATTCAGACCCCTGCATCCAGGCTTCTCCAAGGCCAGCACTTCCCTCCCCTTTTCCATGGTCTAGTTGGATGAGCCAATAAGTTCTTCTTCTCCTTAGGCTGATTGGGCTGGACTTGTAAATCTAGTAACCAATGGAGTTCTGGTTGACACCCAGGCATGGCAGACACATGGTGCACAATGCCAGGGTGGGTGCTCTGTGAGTGGGACAGGGTCTATCTCAATGGCCACGGGGGCCTCAGGATGCTCTGCAATGTGCAGGGGAGAGATGGACTGCACTGGAAGGAATGGCAGAGGGGCCAGCGGGTGCCCACAGCTCCTTGCATGGCATGCAGCCACGAGAGTGCACTGGAAATGAGCTCGCACAGATGTGTTCCACAGAGAACACTCACCTGCAGCCAGCTCCCTGCAGTACTGTCACCCCAAGAGTTCTTTGTGCTCTGGCAGGACAGTGTGTGTGGGTGGCCCTTGCTGGGCCTGGCGAGTGTGAGTTCCACTGAGAAGATGAGCAGGGAAAGGCTGGGACTGCAGGAGACAGCGTCGCTGGAGAAGCCCCTACTCAGTGTGCCAGGATGCCTGGGGACTCAGGGAGGGCTTTTGTCTGGGGGCTGTTTCACCAAAGGACGCTCATTTAATTATTGTGTGGAGGCAAAAACCACACTGTCCTCCTGCAGGGACTGAGCTATCCAAGGAAAAGTCATCATCTAGAGTAAAAATTATTTGGAACAATTGAATCCTTAGCGTTCAGCCTCTTCACTACTGCCTTCGATGCAAGAAAGGGATAGAAATTAGAATATGTATTTAGATTTGCTTGAATTTGCATAAAGGAACACTGAAAGGATTTTTTTTAAGTGGATAGGGGGCAGCGAGCGTGGACTAGATGGAGGCAGGCAGGAGGTGGGTAGAAAGCACATTTCACTGTGGACCTTTCACTGGTTTCAATTTCAAGCTGTGTGCACCCAAAATAATAATACGGTAATAAGGCAGAACTCTGTGAAAAAAGATGTCATTTTCATTATTTAGATCAACTGTTTAAAAAATAATAAAATTGAAAAAAAAAAAAAAACCCTAAAGCAGACCCTACTGAGCTGTGTTAGACTCTGAAAATCCAACGAGGCACGTAACAAACCTCAACCCATGTCCTTCCCTGATTCAACAGTGCTGCACAACACCGCCTTGTTCTTGGAAGCATCTCTCTTCTTAGTGTCTCCTTAGTCACCCGTGGCTCCAGGCCAGCCCTGGCTCAAACCTCACAGGCCACACAGGTGGTTGTGACCCAGCCCCTGGTTCCCCACCCTGGCACCAAGCTGCAGCCCCAGACCTGTGAAGCTCCACTTTTCCACTAGCTGAGGCTCACTGGCCCCTCGCAGGAGGCTGGACTTGGCCGTTTCCACTGTTCATTAGAAACCACAGGTGCAGCCACCACAGCGGTGCCTGCCTTTTCTGAGGGAGCTGGATGCTGGCCGTTGTTGGCTCATTCCCTGCACTGACAGCCGCGGTCTCCATCGGGGGCACACACTCACCAGGGTAATTCTCAGGACCCTTTTTGGAAAACCTGTCTTCTTACTTAAAACTATTTAAAGGAAAATCCATCCAAGCCAGTTGATGAAAAAGTACTTATTAAATACCTTTCCCAAAGTTAAAACATCCTTAACGAGGAGCTGTTAAAAGCATACCTTTGAAGTTGTGTTTCCCTGAGACACGTGCTAAATTAGTAAACTTTTAGCTTGAATTAAAAAGGTATCACACACCTACTCAGAACAAGAAAAGGTCAGAACGCTACCCCTCTGTGACCCCTCATGAAAGCTTGGGAAACAGGCTGCAGCTTTCAGGGAACAGGGTGCACGCTTGTGTGGCAGCCCAAATCCTCCTGCTGCTTTACAGTCACACTCTGCGGGCTCTGGCTAAGGCCTGTTTGCTACACTCATTTAAGGAGAGAATGTCAGAAGCATTTAAAATAAAATGTCCTGTGATTTTCAAAATCATGAAAGTTTCCAGCAGGCTGAAGAGAAAAGGATTTCCTTGCTGGAACAAGGAGGAAAGAAGACCTCCTAAAAAATAAAGGGTTAAAGGGTCAGTGTGGATGCAGAGGTGTTGTTTGTTTTGCTGATTTTCTCCAAGTAAGATTTGTTTCTTCTCAGCCTTCATTTCCAGTGCTATATCTTGCAGCTATCACTGAATGGGGGTTTGAAAGCCAGCGAATTCAATTTAGGGCCATGTTATCCCATAAAACATAAGTGTTGACCAGCTTAATGCAGAAACTCCCATCTGTGAGGCCCTGGGATCAGGAGAGCTTATGAGATCAAAAAAGCTAATCTGCTATCAAAGATAACCTTGGTTTCTGACAATTGAGGCTAGAACTTACAAAACAAATGAAATTATTTCCCAAACTTAACTGCACCTGGTGTGAAAGGAATATGATAGGTTAGGAAGTGCAGATTCTTCATTCCAGAATCCCAGGCCTATAAATGAATGCTTGGCTAGAAAGATAAGATTTTTGTTTTCTTAATAATTATAATAGCCTCCATATGACAGCCCATAATTACATAGATATGTCCACTCCATAGGGCAAATTATGTCTGCTTGAGGGTAACTACTACAAAAACACAGGACAGCATGGTTATCTACTATATTCATAATCCTGGCTCGTTCCCCAGCGTTAAAGTGGTAGATGAGCTGGCAGAAAACCTCTTGGTGGGGGAGCCAAAAGATATTTCCGGCATTCAGACCCATATTGAAGGATGCAGTCTCAAAAACACAAACCCGTGTGGATAAGTCACGTGCGTAACATCGTTGGTCAAGTCTTACAGCTTAATCTAATGTTGCTCATTACACATACACACCTGCCCTCTCCCAAAACAAAGAGGACGCTCCCCAGTTACTCACCGAGATCACCCTGACAAATATCTGTTCGTGTGGCTCCACCAATGATAAACTGCGGGCTGGGACACAATTCCTGAAAGTAACATAGGACAAAACACAAGTCACAAGATGCCCAGTGATGGGGGCAACAAGGGTAAAGGGATGTCAGAGTCAAAGAATTCAGACCTGAGAGGAGCCTGGGAGGTCATCTACTGCAGTGCATCATTTTACTGCCAGGACTCTGACACCACAAGAAGGGAGTCGCACAGCTGGGGTCAACTGTCGTGACAGTATTTCTACTGCTATTTGTATTGTGTGGCTGCACGGGCATGATAAGGCAGTAGGGTGTGGGGAGGCGGGGCAGAGGCAAAGGCTGAGATAATAATGAGAAGAAATAAGATCTCACCCATTCAGACCACACCCCTGTTTACACAGGATTAGAATAATGTTTAGCAAAATGCTTTGCACCCTGTGGCCTCTCATTAAGTACCTGACCAAGTGATAATGATCCCAGTGCTGATAGAACTGCTGAGGTGTGAGGAAGTGCCAGGTATGCAGAAGGAGAGCTCAGCTCTGATGCACTCCCGTGCCTGCCCTGCACTTCCTCCACTCACCTCCCTAGCTGGCGTCTCCCTACAGGACATCGTGTGGCCTTAGTGGCTGTGGAGGCCCACGAGGCATGCCTTGGGGCCTTCTTTCTTTACTTGTTTACCCAGCAAGGATTTATTGAATGCCCATTCTACACATGGTACAATTGCACCATGGCAGGCAGGGCACAGAGGGGACCATGGTGACATGAAAAAAGAGAAGAAATAAACACACAGTACTTGGCCTCAGAGTGCTTTCAGTCTAAGTAGGAAACCAAGACTGACATTATGAAAACATCAGAAAAGAAAGACTAGTGCATAGTAACAGAATGTAGACCACACCTCAAAGGGAGGAACAGGGGACATGTCCCATAGGGTTACAGACAAAAGACTTCCTGGGTGGGAGATGGTACATGCCCGTTAGAAAGGCAGGATTCAGGAACAGTCCAGGATTGGTTCCCAAGAAGAGATGGGCCTGCCTGGCCACCAGCCAAACTGTTAGGGGAAAGGGTAGGGACCTCGAGGGACAGAAAAGAGTCAGCTTACATTTAACGAGAGGCATTCTGGGTTGTGCTACATCAAGGACTGTCTGGCCACAAAGAGGGAGAATCATTTCTCTCTTACTCCACAGAGATGAAGAAATGGTAGATCATAAAGGACAAGGAAGCAGGAGAGGCTGAGGGCAGATGACAGGGTCTGGGTGGGGCCGTGAGCTGAGACCCTGGGACTCTGCTGAGTGAGCTGAGCCTTCTGAGTGGCAGCCCCACAACCCTCTGTAAGGCCACCAGCTCCAGCCGAAAAGGCCCCAAACAGCTCCTCTGGGCTCGCTTCAGGTATTAAAAACAACAGTCATTAACTTGTTTTTTATTGAAAAACTAATACATGCGCATGGAAAAAAAATCCAAGGGCCAGCCTGTGACTCACTCGGCAGAGTGTGGTACTGATAACACCAAGGCCACGGGTTCGAATCCCTATATAGGGATGGCCGGTTCGCTCACTGGCTGAGTGTGGTGCTGACAACACCAAGACAAAGGTTAAGATCCCCTTACCAGTCATCTTAAAAAAAAAAAAAAGAAAGAAAAAAAATCCAAGAGTAAATAATAGTGAAAAGCAAAAAGTCTACTCCAGATTCTTCACTGTTAACATTTTTTATGTATCCCTTGAGAAACTGTCTTCTGACATCAAAGCATACACACATACTTATATTTTTATCATCTATGTCTTATACGTCTTTTCTTAGGACACATAGAGCTTTGTCAATTCATGAAAAGTACCACGAGTTTTTTAGCCACTCCTCTAACAATGGACCTCTTGGTTGGGTTTGTTTGGTTTTTTCCCCAATACTTTGTAATCTCTTGACGTTCCTCTTAACTTCCATCCTTATGATGCAGCTGACATATTATGCAGATTCCTGTCTCTCTGTATTTCTCCTTAAGATCAATAAACTGCTTAGTTGTCAAAAGGTGGACACTTTAAAGAAGAATATCGTTGGCTGGGCCGCACCAGGGCCCGCTCACCCTGGACATTTCTCTAACCATAGGGCCTGGGCTGGGCATTGGCCCAGAATGTGGGGAAGCCAGGAAATGAGGACACAGAAAAGCACCTGCTGGGAAAGCTCCCTGACTCTGCACAGCTGGGAACGCTCCCTGACCCTGCACAACTGGGAACGCTCCCTGACCCTGCACCTGCTGGGAACGCTCCCTGACCCTGCACAACTGGGAATACTCCCTGACCCTGCACAGCTGGGAACGCTCCCTGACCCTGCACCTGCTGGAAAAGCTCCCTGACCCTGCACAGCTGGGAACGCTCCCTGACCCTGCACCTGCTGGGAATGCTCCCTGACCTCACACAGCTGGCCATTTTCTTTGTGATAGGATTGTTGTTCTTGCCCAGCACTAGAGAAAACATTGTCTTAGGATTGCAAATAACAAAACGCTCATCCTGAGAACCCAAGCTTTACCTTGAGATCTTCACCTGGGCATACTTGTCTTCCAACCCTTGGGACAAGATCCCAAAAAACCTTTTGCTCAGCAGCTTAAAAGTAAGCAGAAACTTCAGCAGGGGCAGGATGTCGAACTATGATTTCAGAAAACATCTAAGTATCAAACTTTGTCTGTTATTGAGAGGGCAAAAACACATGCAGAAGTTATGTTCAGCCCATCTCATCTCCTTTCCCCCAAAGGCAGGTAAAAATGAACATTTCTGTGGAAACCAGGATGATATGAGCCATGTCTGGGCAGCTGGCTTAAGGCCCCCAAGACTGAGAAAGTGTGAGGTCACCTTCAAAGCAGCAGGTGAAGCAAACGAGCCAGTGACCCAGTGCAAGGAGGGCAGAGGGCTTGAGCAGATGCTCCCAAGATGCATGGACGGCCAATAAGCCCGAGAAGAGATGCCCAGCATCACTCATCACTCTAGGGAAATGCAAATCAAAGCCATAATGAGATGCCACCCCACACCCATTGGGATGGCTACTATCAAGAAAACAGAAAATAACAAATGTTGGCAAGGATGTGGAGCAATTGGAACCCTCGTGGGCTGTTGGTAGAAATGTAAAATGGTGCAGCTGCTATGTAAAATGGTGCAGCCACTGAGTAAAACAGTATGGCAGTGCCTCAAAAACCTGAAGATAGAATTAACACATGATCCAGCAATTCCGCTACTGGCTGGATACAAAGAATTGAAAGCAGGGTCTCAAAGGGATGCTTACATACTCATGGTCACAGCAGCATGACTCACAGTACCCGAAAGTGGGAAGTAACCCAAATGTCCATCAATGGATAAATAAACAAAATGTGGCATGTACATACAATGGAGTGTTCTTTAAACTTAAAGAGGAAGGGAATTCTGACACATGTTACAACATGGATGAACCTGGAGGACATTATGCTAAGTATATTAAGCCAGTCACAAAAGGGCAAATCCTGTATGATTTCACTGATGTGAGGTCGGTAGCATAGTCAGATTCACAGAGACGGGAGTAGTCAGATTCACAGGGAAGCAGAACAGTGGTTTCCAGAAAGGGGAGGAAGGAAGGGAGAGCTGTTAGTGGGTACAGAGCTTCAGTTCTGCACTGTGCACTTGAAAACGGCTAAGATGGTAAGTTTTATGTTATGTGTATTTTACCACAATTTAAATAGTCAGATTCACAGAGACGGGAAGCAGAACAGTGGTTTCCAGAAAGGGGAGGAAGGAAGGGAGAGCTGTTAGTGGGTACAGAGCTTCAGTTCTGCAGTGTGCACTTGAAAACGGCTAAGATGGTAAGTTTTATGTTATGTGTATTTTACCACAATTTAAAAATAAATAAGTAATTGCAGCAAGTAAACTTGCAATGTACCTCCCTTCTGGACACCCCACTGTGCTTACAAGCCCCTGAGAGGCCTCTTGGGAGGAAAAAAAAATGAAGGATTTAGAAACAGGCTGATTTCCCAGGATCCAACGCACACTCCTGGTAGAGGTGGAACCAGAATCTTTACCAACTTGGGAATCTATTGAATAATCTGCAGGGTCTTAGAGGGTAAGGCAGTGTCTTCCAATGCTCCTTTGTGGTACGTGAGCTTGACCCTGGCCCAAAGCAGCCATGAGTCAGCTCTCCATTGGTGACCAGGCACAGAGAGGCCACACTTTGTCACCTTCTTACTTATGCACCACACACTTGAGAACTCCAGGTAGGAGTCCCACGCTTCCACATTAATCAGGTTCCACTGCCTCATCCTCTGGATTTTATGGCCACTATTCACAGGCACAAATCAGCACATCTGGTCCAAAATTACCAAATTTCCATGGACAGTGAGACCAGGTGAAGACATAGTTGGGGGAGGATGGGCGATGTGGTTGAGGAGGTAAGCAAGGGCTTACAAACTGGCAGAAGAAGGAGAAAAACTAGACAAGGGTTAAGCGATTCCTGAATTTGGTCACTAAATGACTTATTCACCCCCTCTCCATTCTCTTTCCCCCCCAGCCCTTGGATCTCCAAGTCCATCCTCCTTATGTCTTCTGTCATTCGGTAGTGGCATCCCAGGTTCCTGTGGCCTGTCCCTTATGCCTCTGACGGTCACTCACTTCACTCGCCCTGGGCATCAGTCCTCATTCACGCTCTGGCTCCCCACAGTTTCCATCAGAGCTGAGACCACAGCTCATTCCTCAGTTTCTCCTGACCACCCCCCAAACAGTGCACAGCCAATGCCTGGTGTAAAACAGAGGCTCAAAAAACTGTCTGTTGAAATGAAGTGTGGCTGTCAACTCTTGAAATCGAGTATACAACCTTGATTTTATCAACATGTCTGGGTAATCCCATGGTTTCAGCGGGGTGGGACAATGGGCCGTGTGCGCAGGAGGCAGTCACAGCAAAGGAGCTGATCTCAGAGGTGGAAACTGTTGTGCAAAATCAATGGGACGAAAACAGAAGGGGTAGAGATAGTTGGAGTTAAATGATGGTTTTGACCATTTTTAAAGAATTATTCTCTCCTTATCTTCCCTTCTCAACCACTGCCAAGAAAATAGGAACCATGACCCGATTTCCTTATCGTGGTTTTGAAGACAAAAGGCTCCCTGACCAAGGGCCATTTGGTGTGTCCATTCAACAGCTCCTCTTCTGAGACCTTGTTCTGTGCCAGGCCCCAGACAGAGCACTTCACACAGACGATCTCGATTCTCACAGACACTGTGTGCAGGGGCTCTGACCCCCGAGGTTACATCACTTTACAAGGGCCACATAATGGGAGGTCACGGGCCAAGGTTTTGGGAGTACAGTTCTCTATCCCCTGCTTCTAAACTTTGGGTCATGTCAGTGACAGCATCCAGAAGTCCCTGATTTCTGCACACCCCAACCCTGACAGAAAATGATAACTGGTGGCCTTCAGCGGCCCTGCAACTTTCAGCAATGATGTTGTCACAGTTTACCGAAGGGCTGACTAAATCTAGCATCAAATTGTCCCATTGTCACTGGGGGGGACAATCTATGTAGTAGTAACTACTATGTATTCTGTGCCCTTTATGTGCCAGGCACTATGCTCTGAGATTTTTCTCTAGTTCTCGTGCCAATCCTGAAAAACAAGGGGCCAGTAACACCATTTTACAGATGAGAAAACTGAGGCACACAGAGTTTAAGTTACCACCCAAGGCCACACAGACAGAGACAGGATTCAGATGTAACTTCTCTGGTTCTAAAGCCTGTACGTGCTCCTGCCTCTATACCCCACTACCTCTGAAAAAGATTTTAAAAGGCTGGGGGTGGGAGAGTGATTGAAATATGGGATCCAGAAATGTTGGATCCACAGCCATGACTTCTCCCCCAACTACTTCTGACCGGTCGCAAGGGCCCTCCTCCCCGAAAGACACCCAGCAGCTCAGCAGCAAGCCCCCCTCCTTACCGTGGGCCGCTTCCAGACGATGCCTTGTGTTTGTGGGGAGCCTGGGCCAAGATCCTTGTAGCCCAAAGCTGACGGACATGCTGGGAACTCTGGGTCCTTAAATAGGACCCCTGAGTTCAAGCACTGCTGCCTCAGGGCCTCGAAGTCCTGGCCCAAGTACTTGACGGCTTTCCAGTGGGAGCCGAGGCCTTCAGCGGCCGCCCGCTGCCTGCACACTCTAGCCGCCAGCGCTGCCATGCCAGGGCTCCCAGGGTGCACAGGAGAGCGGGGCTGTCTGGGCTCTCAGACACCTGCTGCACTGGGAAGGGAGCTATAAAGCTGCACAGAGGGAGGTGGAACAGGTAAACATTTCGCCCCAGGCCCCGCTCCAGAAGGAAGTGAGTCACAGCCAGGAACAAATATGTACCCAAGGTGCAAATGAATCGGCCCCACCTTCTCCTTCTGTCTTTTGCAGAAAACCTGGAGGCCAAGAACCTTCCAGACCCCATCCCAGGCCATTAGCCTAAAAAGTCCATTAGGATCTCAGCCACCCCCACCTCTTTGCCAAACCCACTTGCCTGGCATTGAGCGCGTTGACGGAGACGGGAAGGCTCATTGTGCAGCTGGAGGCAGGTGGTCACCGAGGGACTGGAGAAGTAGTTGTGAGCAGGAGGAGAGAAGTCATTAGAAGGGTTCCCTTTCCTTCCAGAAAAGTTTGGTTCCATAATTTCTAGGCAGGAAAAAATATCAGAGAAGGGTGATTCATGGGGTACTTTCAGACCAACCAGAGGTTGTTCCAGCCATGAGTAAAGGTGTGGGCCCTGGCTGCCTGTCTCCATCCCAGCTCCACCACTAATTAGCTGTCACCTTAGGCAAGTTATTTAGCCTCTTTCCCCCCTAATTTTCTCATCTGTAAAA